AGGAAGGCTCAAGCTCCCTCTCTTGCCTCTCTCGCTCTGTGGTGGCTTCTCACGAGGGCACCTTGGAAGGCAATGGAAGAAACAGCGGAGAGGATAAGGCAGGATTGCAGTGGTGGTTCCTTCTTCTCTGCCCCACTGGGGTAGGTTTGGCTGGTGCTAAGCTTGAGCGGAGCCCCAGTGTGTGCAACCTCCTTCTCCTTCTTTGGCCTCCTTAAATGAGGAAGTCCCCTTCCCTCAGCTGATCCACACAGGGCTCCCCTCTCCTCTCCTCTCCTCTCCTCTTCCCTCCTTCCCCTTCTCTCTCTCTCCTGCCCTCCCTTTCCATCCATCCTGGCAAGAGATGAGGTGGGAAGATTCGGAGGGCCGCCTGACGTTCCTGGAGCGAAGGCCTTCTACAGAGCGAGATGCTGGTCTGCAGTCTGGGCCCTGGCGCTGTCCTCCTCCCTCCTGGGCATCAGCGACTCACAAGCTTTCCCCTCTCCCATGTGGATCTCCTGGGTCGGCCCGCCTGGCCGCCTCGAAGCCCACCTTCACTGTGCTTTTCCTGCTTCTGGCTCTCTGCTGTCATCTCCAGCGTCTTCCTGGCGGCTGGTGGTGGATCTCCAGCTCCAGTGCTTTCTAATTCCTCAGGCCCCCGCTTGCTTCCTGGGGTCTCCTGGGCCCCAAGTTGCTGCCCGAACCCCTTCCCATAGATCCTCCGCTCCCCTTTGGTCACCATCTCTCCATCTCTGGTTGGCTCCATCTCGGCACCTCCCTGCCATGCGTCTGGGCTCAGAAATGGCGCCGTTTCGGGGCTGTGCTGTATGGACAGTCGGGCTGCGCCCTGGCCAGGCTGGAGCTCCAGGAGGGCCCGGAGAAGCCGCGCAGGGGAGAGGCTGCCCGGAGGGTGATCCGCCTCAGCGACTGTCTGCGGGTGGCGGAGGCCAGTGGGGAGGCCAGTGGCCCCAGGGACACCAGCACCTTCTTCCTGGAGACCAAGGAGCGCCTGTACCTGCTGGCGGCCCCCACGGCCGAGCGTAGCAACTGGATGCAGGCCATCTGCCTCCTAGCCTTCCCGGTGAGCTGTCCAGGGGTGCAGAAGGGGCCAGGGGTGGGCAGGAGGTGTAAGAGCCAAGGCCAGGATTTTGGGGGCAGGGCCTTGGTGGGGTGACCCCAATCCAGAATGCAGACGGGGCAGCAGCCAGAGCGTGTCCTGAAAGAAAGCCTGGGCCAGAGGTGGGGCTTGGGCTTGTGACATGGCGAGACCGGCCTATTCCCCAGGGCCAGCGGAAGGAGCTGCCGGGGCCGGAGGGGAAGGGCAGCGGGCCCTGCATGGAGGAGAATGAGCTGTACAGCAGCACGACCACAGGTGAGGGGGCTGCCCGCCCTCCCGGGGCGTGGTGGGAGGAGGTGTGGGCCAGCAGGCGCGTCTTCCTGCTTGTGGTCGTCCCCAGCCCGGCCAGCCCCCTTATCGGCCTCTCTGCATCGCTTCCGGGCCTGGCCAAGGTGGAGGAGCCTGGCTGCCTAGACTGCCAGCCCTTCCCCGCTGGTTCACTCCTGCTTGCCCAGGCCCTGCTGGTGGGAGAGGGCAGGGCTGAGGGGTCCACAGAAGGTGCTGCTCTAGAACCCTCTGTCGTTAGGACCTGAGCAAGTTCTGGAAAATAAGAAAGGCTTTCTTTCTGTGGCTTGAAGGTGTCCTGTGGGAGGCTTCTGCTGACAAGGCACCCCTCCCCCTTCTTGCGATCTGTCTGGTCCTCTGGGTGTGGGGTGTGGGCGAGAGGAGCAGGATACAGGGCATCCCGTCTCCACCCCGCAGAGGGCACGGTGGCATGGGCAGTGGGTGAGGAGGCTGAGAGTGGGGAGGGCAGGGCCAGGTGCACCTGCAGCTGAGACAGTAGGGATGGGGGCGGCTGGGTTGGGGGGAGAGAGATGAGACAGAAGAGACAAGGCTGTGGCTCTGGACACAGGTCGGAAGGATGTGGGCGCGAGGTTGGGGTGCATGTGGCGGGGGCAGGGTGCCTGCTGGGGTCGGGGGCGGTACCTGGCATTTGGGGGGAGTGTGACCTGGCACAGAGCAGGTCATGGGGAGGGAATGCCACTCTCCTATGACCGCTGGTTGCTCCCTGAGAGCCGGGCAGGCTGAGGCCGGCAGTGCCCCCCTTTAACACTTCTCTCCCCTCCTCCCCAGGGGCCTCCTGCAAGGAGTTTGCTGTGACCATGAGACCCACGGAGGCCAGTGAGAGGTGCCGGCTCCGGGGGACCTACACCCTCCGGAGCAGGTGTGGAGGGGAAGGGTGAGGGTGGGGGAGATGGTCAGGGAGACGCCAGGGGCCCTGTGAGGACGCGTGGGAGGAGGAGGGAAAGGGGAGAAAGGCCTGAAGGAGGAGACAAGGGAACCAGAGGAGGCGGAGTGAAAGCGAAGAAGAGGCATAGATTTGAGAAGGGGAGAGAGGAGGTGGGGGGTGGCGGAGCAGGAAAGGAGGCCCAGAGAGGGAGCAGTCCGAGGGGCAGGCATTACTGAGGTGAAGTATGTGCCCAGCTCACACTTGGATGGAGGAGGAAGGATGAAGGGAGAGGAGAGAGAGGGCTTTGTCTGAAGGAGAAACATGGAGGAAGGGAGCAGAAACAGCTGGGGAGAAGGCTCGGCTGGTCCCCGCGGGGTAGGCTGGACGTGATGGGTTGGAGTCTCGGAGCTCGGTCCAGGGGAAGCAGCCCTGACCTAGCCAAT